GAAAGAAAGAAAGAAAGAAAGAAAGAAAGAAAGAAAGAAAGAAAGAAGCAGCAAAGTTCAGAATAACTTCCTGAGGGAAGTTAAAATAAATTAAAAGTCTGTGAGGGAGATCTCGAAGACCTGAATAATTATTCTGCTAAGTACTGTACAATGCCATGCTTAAAGGATGTTTGTGGAAACTCTCAGCCATCCAGGTCCTGGTTGTCCCAAAGGTTTTTTTTTTTTTTTCAAGAGGCAACTGGACTTTTCTTGCTTTTTCTTCAAAGACGTTTTGCTTCTCACCCAAGAAGCTTCTTCAGCTCTGACTTCAGTTCTGATGAATGCCTCTTCGTCAGAACAGGCTTAAGGGGGGCGTGATAACATCTTCCAACACTTGAAGGGCAATCATGGAGGAGAATGGGTTGACTTATTCTCCAGAGCACCGGAGAGCAGGACAAGAAGCAACGGATGGAAGATTATTAAAGAGAGATCCACCCTAGAAGTAAGGAGGAAACTAATCAAGGAGAGAAACCACCTCTCTCCCCTAGAACTAAGGAGACAATGAGAACAATTAACAGTGAGAACAATGAATCAGTGGAAGAGCTTGCCTTCAGAAGGTGCTCCATCCTTAGCAAGACCACATCTAGAATACTGCATCCAGTTTTGGTCACCACACTATAAAAAAGATGTTGAGACTCTGGAAAGAGTGCAGAGAAGAGCAACCAGGATGATTAGGGGACTGGGGACTAAAACATATGAAGAACGGTTACAGGAACTGGGCCTGGCTAATCTAGGGAAGAGAAGGACCAGGGGAGACAGGAGAGCAGTCTTCCAATATTTGAGGGGCTGTCACAGAGAGGAGGAAAGGGTCAAGCTATTTTCTAAAGCCCCCGAAGGCCAGACAAGGAATAATGGATGGAAACTGAACAAGGAGAAATTTAACCTGGAAATAAGGAGAAACTTTCTGACAGGGAGAACAATCAATCCATGGAATAGCTTGCCCTTGGAAGTTGTGGGAGTGCCATCACTTGAGACTTTAAGAAGAGATTGGACTGCCATTTGTCAGAAAAGGTGTAGGGTCTCCCACTTGGGAAGGGAGTTGGACTAGATGAGAGCAATCAACCAACGGAACAGAAGTTGCCTTCAGAAGTTGTGGGAGCTTCATCTCTGGAAGCTTCCAAGAAGACACAGGACTGCCATCTATTAGAAAGGGTGTAGGGCAGGGGTGGGATTCAACCGATGTTACTACCGGTCAGGGAATAACAGGCCATAATAGGCCATTAAAACTAGCTGGGTTCGAAAAGCATCAACTTGCTTTCAGCCAGCTGGGGAAGAAACCAAGTCAAGGACAAGCCTATCAGAAGTGCGTGTTCTCTTATCAGCTGCACAACTAACCCTTCATGCAGCGAATAGCCAAGCCCTACTCATATTCCAATGATAAAATCATGATAGCAAAAATAAACACGCCTGTTCCTTTTTGAAGCATTTTATTGGACGTCAATGAATGGTCAGGTTTGTTTTTATAGTTTGCTTCCCTTCCGGCCCCTGTCGTGATTTTATTTGCCGGTGCCCCGTGGTTTTTTTTTTTTTTTTGAAAACAGTTTTATTAATTTTAACAACAAACAAAAACACATAAAACATAAAAACATCATCTTTCCTTCATGAGTTTACAGACAGTGTATCGGTTGGTTTACCACTTTTTTTTGTGCATCCATTTCATAGTCTCCATTGTAGTTATATTACATATTAGCTCATATTATCAATCAACAATTATATAGCCTGATATCATTATTAAACAATCATTTGACTATAATTTTATTAATTCATACTTTAACGAGATAACTATAATTTACTTAATTTATTTTATAGCAAATCACGGTGCCCCGTGGTTTGACGGTTTCGCCGCAGAAGGCACAGCTCTTTATGGGGAAGTTTGCAAGGAGAATATTTGCAAGGATAAATATTTAGGATATTTTTTTCTGTCTTGCGCACGTTCCTGGAAAGGGATTCCTAGGGATTTTGAACCCCCACCCCCACCTGTTCAAATAAATTCTTCCACAAACTTCTTAACCTTGGAAACCCTACAGGAAGAGGTGGGTATGTTAGTAGGTAAAACTCAGCCAATAAATGACTCACAGTACCTGCTATCTGCATCCTCACAGTTCAGTGTGGGTTTGTTGATACTCTCTGAGCTTGTTTGTTTTCTTCTGACATTTATTACTCAGCTACTATAAGTATCATCATCATCAACATCATCACCATTGGTGCTAGAAGGAACTGTATTTGAATAGAAATCAAACCCACTCCTTTCTATCACTGATGATGTTCCCTAGTTGGGTCATGAAACATCTGCAAGAAAACTACCAAGCTGAGAGAGCAACAGTTCAACCCTGAGCTACAATTATTCTCTTCTCTCGATATCATAATTAAATCCCTCCATTTATTTCAAGGAAGTATTATTTTTTTCTTGCATGCTGCACAAATAATGACTCAACCATCTTGGAAAGCACAAACTGTGGCCACTCAACTCAAAGCCAAGATCATTAACTCAGAGAGAATTAGCCTGAAATAAGTAATTCCACAAAAGTCCTCTGCTCACCCATGCATTTAATTTTGCTTCTTCGTTTGTTCTGTCTTTCTCTGCCTTTCTCTCATCTTTATTCCTCTCTTTCATGGCAAGTTGTTTCATTACTGCCAATTAATTGATACCAGGGATACCTAAATACCATACATATATAGATATATAGATATAGATATAGATAGATAGATAAGATAGATAGATAAGAGATAGATAAGATAGATAGATAGATAAGATAGATGGATGGATGGATTGATAGATCGAGAGATCGAGAGATAGCAACAGCAATAGCACTTAGACTTATATACCATAGTGCTTTACAGCCCTCTCTCAGCCTATTGCCCCCAACAATCTGGGTCCTCATTTGACCCACCTCGGAAGGACGGAAGGCTGAGTCAACCTTGAGCCTTGGCGAGACTCGAACTGCCAAATTGCAGGCAGCCGGCAGCGAGCAAAAGGAGCCTGCAGGACCGCACTCTAACCACTGCGCCGCTTTGGCTGATGTTGATGTTGGAGAACCGGTGATTTTTGGAATGTCAGAATTTCCTTAGATGGAGAACAGTTTTGAAGGCCTCATACAACCCAGCACGTCAGCTCAATGGTGCAGCAGTGAATTGCGGATGATGCAACAGACAGAAATTAGCCTGCATTACACATCCTTTCTGAGACACAAGGTTACAACCCTTGGCAAACGTCCTGCTGGGACGGGTCCAACATTCATAACAACAGCAGCGTGGCTCTTAACAATCAATATTCTTGAACAGGCTGAATGCCACAGCAGATGTTGAGGCAAAACATCAATGCACCATTCAGCTGCTGGGCGAAGAGAGAGGACTGAAAGATTGACCCGCACACTTGGTAGATCCAACTATTGAAATCAGCCTCTTGGTAATGTCAGAAGCTGTAGCCCTTTATCAGCTGCATGGATGATGTTACATAGTTTGGTAATGAAATGCCTGCAAGAAAGCAATCAGGTTCTGAAAGTCCAACAGTCCTCCCCCTGCCCCCTCCTCCTCCATCATCTCCATCTCCTCCTCCCTCTCCAACTTCCTCTCCTTCTCCCTCTCCCTCTCCTTCTTCTTCTCCACAAATCCCTAACACTGATGAGGCTACCTAGTTGGGTAATGAAATGTCTGCAAGAAAGCAATCAGATTCTGAAAGTCCAACAGTCCTCCTCCTCCTCCTCCTCCTCCTCCTCCTCCTCCTCCTCCTCCTCCTCCTCCTCCTCCTCCATCATCTCCATCTCCTCTTCCCTCTCCAACTCCCTCTCCTTCTCCTTCTCCTTCTCTTTCTTCTTCTCCCTCTCCACAAATCCCTAACACTGATGAGGCTACCTAGTTGGGTAATGAAACGTCTGCAAGAAAGCCACCAAGCTCGGAGAGCCTCAAGGACCCCACAGCCTATCAGCTTTTACTTTTCAAAATGGGCACCGCTAGCTTGCGAAGGTTTTCACTTCCCCGCAGATATTCTTCTACAGAATATCGTACCTCTCATTTCATTTGGGGTGAGGGGTGGAAGGATTGGCAAGTGAGCACACGAACATGCGGAATTAAAAACGAAGGGCAGGTTAGAGACGTGACACAGCAAAACAGCAGCTGTCCAACTGTACGTGACACATATTTTGGTGACCTTAAACACCACAGCATTTTGTGCTTTCCCTGTTCAAGCACTTGGCAGAGAGTAGCATGAAATAACTTCTGGCAACCGGCTGTCCCCTCTCACAGAAGGGAAAACCATTTTAGGGAGGAAATGAGATCACAGGAAATTACCATCAAAGGGAGATCCTTCCACGCTTCACGGCAGCAGAGAGGACATCTCTGAACTTCTCTTGAAAAAAAAACAAACCCTGGAATATTTTGGAAACTCTGAGGTTCAAAACCACAGCTGGTCTTCTGGCTATAAACCAGTACAGTTAAGGGTCAAAATTCCACTCTACTGCTACAACTCCAGCAATGCATCGCAATGCTCTACAGAAGATTGTGCTCGGAATCAAGTTCCAATGGTTTTCCAAGCTTTTCATTTGGGATGCTTTAAGCCCCTTGATTTAGTCTACAGACCCTTTTGATTTTAGAACTGTCGTAATCACGGGGAAGGATTCAGTAGAAGGATAAAATGCCAAATCCAGTCTAGACATCTGGATGACGCTGCAGTGAACCATAATAATAATCCATCAAAGGGATCTAAGGATATTCTTAAACTCATAGGGCTGGGAGGGATCTCGGAGATGTTCTAGTCCAACCCCCCCCCCCTGCCCAAGGCAGGAGATGTCAAATCATCCTGGACCAATGGTTGTTTATCAACAATTTAGCGACTGTCAATTATCATCATTGTGTGTGTTCAGGTTGCATCTCAACAGCTTAAGAATTTCTTGATCTGGCTGTTATTTAAATGGACGGGCTCCATTCCAGTTGAAGCCCAAGTGAAGAAAACTAGCAAGAGAAAAGCAAGAAAAGGGGAATGGGTTTCCAATAAATGATATTAAGCTGGCAGGAATAGCTAACACCCTAGAAGATAAGCTCAAGATCCAGATGGATCTTGACAGACTTGAACACTGGGCCATATCTAACAACATGAAATTCAATGTAGAGGAAAGTAAAGTCCTACAGTTAGGCAAGAAAAACCAAAAGGACACATATAGATTGGATGAAACCAGGCTCAATAGCAGTAACCGTGAGAGGGATCTTGGAGTCTTAGTGGACAACCAGCTAAATAGGAGCCAGCAGTGTGCCGCAGCAGCCACAAAAGCTAATGCAATCCTAAGTTGCATTAACAGAGGGATACAATCAAGATCCAGTGAGGTATTAATACCACTCTATAAATCCTTAGTAAGACCACACCTAGAGTACTGAATCGAATTTTGGTCACCACGCTATAAAAAAGAGGTTGAGACTCTAGAAAAAGAGCAACCAGTATGATTAGGGGACTGGAGACTAAAACATACAATGAATGGTTACAGGAACTGGGCCTGGCTAGTCTAGGGAAAAGAAGGACCAGGGGAGACATGATAGTAATCTTCAAATATTTGAGGGGCTGCTATAGACAGGAGGAAGGGGTCAAGCTACTTCCCAAAGCCCCTGAAGGCCAGACAAAGAATAATGGATGGAAACTGATCAAGGAGAGATTCAACCTGGAAATAAGGAGGAATTTTCTGACAGGGAGAACAATCAACCCCTGGAACAGAAGTTGCCTTCAGAAGTTGTGGGAGCTTCATCGCTGGAAGCTTCCAAGAAGAGACAGGACTGCCCTCTGTCAGAAATGGGGTAGGGTCTCCTGCTAGGGTGGGGATTGGACTAGATAACCTACAAGCTCCCTTCCAACTCCATTAATCTGTTAACATCTGTTAATGGCTATTCCAAAGATGCTCCCCCACCCTCCCCACCCCCCAAAAAAGGCAACTGGACTTCGTTTTGTTCCTTGAAGACGTTTCGCTTCTCATCCAAGCAACTTCTTTGGCTCCCTTCCCGTTCTGTTCCGAAGAAGCTTCTTGGATGAGAAGCATCTTCCACAAGGAGGGAAGGAAAAGTCTAGTTGCCTTTTGAAAGAAAGAAAAAAAAACACCTTTGGCACCACCCCGGATTGCATGTTTTAAGTTCCTCCTTTGTTGGAAGGACAAATTAGAACATAATTTGATCGCGGCTCTGCCTCCAAGGCAACGCGCACACCCGCTCCATCCTTGCCAGCTGGAGGTTCTTTACAGAGCACCTGGAGAAGAAGCGAACCGATCCAAGCCAAGCCAAGCCGCTCCTTACCTCCTCGGGCGCTGCTTTTTCCGCCACCTTGTCTCGGATCAAGTACAGTACCGGCAGAGCCAAGAGGAACATCCCCAGGAAACCCAGCCCGCAGAGGCAGTGCAGCGCTCTGACCTCGCGTTTCTTGCAACAGCGGCCGCACCTGTCGCAGCCGCCGCCGCCGCCGCTGCTTCCCGACGCGCTTCTCAGCTCCCCGAAAGGCATTGCCGGCTTCAGCCCGAAAAGCAGCAAAAGGAAAAGGAAAAAAAAATAAAAATAAAAATGTGACTCCCGGGGTTAGAAACCCCTGATATAAATAGGCTGAAATTGGGTAGGCTGCCGGCCCATCCTCCGGAGCAAACGAGGGGGTGGAACCACGCCCTTATTTTGATCCTGCCCGGCTGGGTTTTATGCTGCCGCACCTACTCTTGAAAGGGGAGAAAAAACGGCTTTGAAAAGGACGCAGCCTCTGCGGAGAGTTTGAGGGGTGAGGGTGGAATTTTTATTTTATTTTACTTTTTTTTTTTTAAAAAAAGGAGAGATTTCGCGTGCCTTCGCTTGCTTCCAGCAGTAAGGGTGGATACCGGCCAAGGAGGAACCGAGAGGAAAATTCCCTGCTGGCGGGTACAGGGGAGGACCAGAGAGGGGAGCCAGAGGTCTGGAAGTGGGTGAGAAGCAGAACCAAAACCAGACCAGAAAGTGGCAGCACAGCCGGCCTTGGGCTCCCTTTGAGAAGTGCAATTGCGCATCCCGGCCGGGTTTAACAAATGAACAGAGTTGAAAGGGACTTTGGAGGTCATCTTGTCCAAGTCCAACTCCCCACTCCCCCCCCCCCAAGCAGGAGACCCTACACCATTTCTGACAGATGGCAGTCCGGTCTCTTCTTGAAAGCCTCCAGGGATGAAGCTCCCACAGCTTCCAAAGGCAACTTCTGTTCCATCGGTTGATTGTCCTCACTGTCAGAAAGTTTCTCCTTATTTCCATAGTTGAATCTTTTATCAGTTTCCATCCATTGTTCCTTGTCTGGCCTTCAGTTGCTTTAGAAAACAGCTTGACCCCTTCCTCTCTGTGGCAGCCCCTCAAATATTGGAAGACTGCTACCATGTCTCCCCTGGTCCTTTTCTTCACTAGACTAGCCTGCCCAGTTCCTGTAACCATTCTTCATATGTTTTAGTCCCCAGTCCCCTAATCATCCTGGTTGATCTTCTCTGTACTTTTTCTAGAGTCTCCAACATCTTTTTTATAGTGTGGTGACCAAAACTGGATGCAGTATTCTAGGTGTGGTCTTACTAAGGATGGAGCGTGTAAAAGACAGACCAGAAATAAAAGTTAAAATAAGCAAAAAAATAGTAAGAGAACACCTGTCTGATCTTGATGAACACAAATCACCAGGGCCTGATGGATTACACCCCAGAGTTTTAAAGGAGCTGGCAGAGGTCATCTCAGAACCACTGCACCATATCTTTCAAAAATCCTGAAGCACCGGGGAACTACCAGAGGGCTGGAAAAGAGCAGATGTGGTTCCCATCTTCAAAAAAGGAAAAAAACAGACCCAGGAAACCATAGGCCAATCAGCCTAACAACAATACCTGGGAAGATACTGCAAAAGATAATAAAAAAGCAGATCTGCCAACATCTAGAAACAAGTAAAGTAATAACTAGCAGTCAGCACGGGTTTGTTAAGAACAGATCATGCCAAACCAATCTTATTTCGTTCTTCAACACAGTGACTAAATTAGTAGACCAGCAAAATACTGTGGACATAATATATTTAGATTTCAGCAAGGCATTCGACAAAGCAGACCACAACCTACTTCTTAGTAAGCGAGAAAAAAGTGGAATAGATAGTACCACCACTAGATGGACTCTCAACTGGCTGGCAAACCGAGTAGTCCTTAATATATCTAAGTCTACATGGAGGGAAGTAAGCAGTGGGGTGCCACAGGGCCCAGTACTTAGGCCCAGTACTCTTCAATATCTTCATTAACGACTTAGATGAGGGAATAGAAGGGGGAACTTACCAAATTTGCAGATGATACTAAGCTGACAGGAATAGCTAACACCCAAGAAGATAGGCTCAAGATCCAGATGGATCTTGACAGACTAGAACACTGGACCATATCTAACAAGATTCAATGTAGAGGAAAGGAAAGTCCTACACTTAGGCAAGAAAATCCAAAAGTACACATATAGACTGGGTGAAACCAGGCTCAACAGCAGCAACTGTGAGAGGGATCTTGGAGTCTTAGTGGACAACCAGCTAAATATGAGCCAGCAGTGTGCCGCAGCAGCCACAAAAGCTAATGCAATCCTAAGTTGTATTAACAGAGGGATAAAATCAGGATCAAGGGAGGTACTAATACCACTCTATAAATCCTTAGTAAGACCACAACTAGAGTACTGCATCCAGTTTTGTTCACCACACTATAAAAAAGATGTTGAGACTCTAGAAAAAGTACAGAAAAGAGCAACCAGGATGATTAGGGGACTGTGGACTAAAACATATGAAGAACGGTTGCAGGCTTGGCTAGTCTAGTGAAGAAAAGGACCAGGGAAGACAGGATAGCAGTCTTCCAATATTTGAGGGGCTGTCACAGAGAGGAGGAAGGGGTCAAGCTATTTTCTAAAGCACCTGTAGGCCAGACCAGGAATAATAGATGGAAACTGAACAAGGAGAAATTTAACCTGGAAATAAGGAAAAACTTTCTGACAGGGAGAACAATCAACCAATGGAACAGAAGTTGCCCTTGGAAGTTGTGGGAGCACCATCACTTGAGACTTTCACGAAGAGATTGGACTGCCATTTGTCAGAAATGGTGTAGGGTCTCCGCTTGGATGGGGGGTTGGACTAGATGACCTACAAGATCCCTTCCAACTCTGATTATCTGTTATCTGTTATTTTTTGGCCTCCCAGAGGCTTGGAAAAAGCTTCTGCAAGGCTTTTCAGGATGAATTATAGGCCCGTTTCATCACTTCCAGTATTACAGGAAGTGACAAAATGGGCCTATTGTCCTGAAAAGCCTTGCAGAGGCTTTTTCCAAGCCTCTGGGAGGCCAAAAAAAAAGCCTCAAATGAACCAAAAAAAATCAACTGTGAGGCGCGCACATGCGCAGTGAGGTATGTTTGCCTGCGACTTGCGTGCCAGCACAAATGGCTCTGCGTGCCACTTGTGGCACATGTGCCATAGGTTCGCCATCGTGGCCCTATATCATTCCAGACAAATGGCTATCCAGTTTCTTTTTAAAAGCCACCAATGTTGGAGCACCCACAAAACGTCCAGTTCCACTGATTAACTGTCTTCACCACCAGGAAATATCTCTTTAGTTCAGGTTAGTTTTCTCTTTAATTAGTTTCCATTAGTTTCTTGTCTTGCCTTCTGGTTCTTTGGGGAAATAGATCAACCCCTTCATCTTTGTAGGAGCCCCTCAAATACTGGAAGGCTGCTATCATGTCACCCCCTCATTTTTTCTTTCACTACAAACTAAAGGTAAAGGTTTCCCTTTCTTATGTATGCTCGTTGTTTCCAGCTCTAGGGGGGCTCATCTCCGTTAAAAAGCCGAAGAGCCAGCGCTGTCCGAAGACGTCTCCGTGATCATGAGGCCAGCGTGACTAAATGCCGAAGGCTCACAAAACGCTGTTCCCTACCCACCAAAGAGGTCCCTATTTTTCTACTTGCATTTTTTTACATGCTTTCGAACCGCTAGGTTGGCAGAAGCTGGGACAAGGAACGGGAGCTCCCTCTTTGCAGCACTGAGGATTCGAACTGCCAAACTTTGACAAACTCAGCATCTTAGCCACTGAGCCACCGCACCCCTTCCTCTCTGTGGCAGCCTCTCAGATTTTGGAAGACTGCTATCGTGTCTCCCCTGCTCCTTCTCTTCACTAGACTAACCATGCCCAATTCCTGCAGCCGTTCTTCATAGGCCCTGTGATTTGGGGAGGCTCCTTGAGGTTCTCCAGACCCGAATTCCATGCCCTTGGCCACCTATAGGCATCACAGGGGGAGAACAAGAGGAAGGCCAATTTGTTCTTCAAAGGCACCCGTGAGGAATTTTGCAGAACCTGATCTAGACGCTGCTGGCACCCAGAGTTGGTTTTGCAGCGACATGACATGGGATGATGCAGCTGAATGATTTTGAATGACTTAACTCAAACACAAATATATCCCTTCCCCTCCCACTTTTATGCACAAAGTTCTAGGAATGGTAGCAAAGAGACGGGGAGAAACATCCCTGCAGCCTCCGGTTCAATACAAACAGATGTTGCTAAAGTCACCCGAGTTAAATCTCGGTGAATTTCACGGGACTTCTTTCTGAGTGTACAGTCCTGAAATTGGACTGGCACTGTTGCCACCGGCATCAGCAGGGATCTAAACGTACAACAGAATAACGGGACATATTAACAAGAGTTGGAAGGGGGCCTTGGAGGGCAGGAAAACCTTACACAAATAGGTGTCCAATCTCTTCTTAAAAACTTCCAGTGTTGGAGCATTCACAACTTCTGAAGGCAAGTCGTTCCACTGAGGAATTGTTCGGTCAAGTGCTTTGGACAATAGCTTGACCCCCCCTTCTTTGTGGCAGCCCCTCAATTACTGGAAGACTGCTATCACCCCCTTAGTCCTTTCTTTCGTTAAACTAGACATATCCAAGACCTGCAACCATTCTTGAGCTATCTCACTGGTTTTAAGTCCCATGGTACACCCAGTGGATTTCTACGTCCTGTAGTTGTGCTTGCTTTCAGCTCATTTCTCCTCCACCCAAAAACTCCTATATAATCAGGTTTGTAGGCATCACACCGACCTCTTATCTATGCTACTGTAGCCAGCTCAATTGAATTGACCTCAATTGGCTGGATTTCCAGAACAGGATGTTTTACAGTACCCTTCACCTGCCATGCCCACCAAGCCACACCCACAGAACTGATAGTAAAAAATGTTTAATCCCACCACTGCACTGTACGATACACTAAACCATGAACCAGCAAACAGTGGTTTAATGTGATGTGAGGTCGTGTTTTTAGCCTCGAACGATCCCAAAGTCAAACAATACGCCAATGTTTGCAGGAGGCCTCTGTTCTCATCAACCGAGCCGCATTGTTCTGAATCATTAAAGAAAAAAAAGTTGCGTATTTTGAATGATCATTTTCATCCTAAAAACGTTCGTAGCTTTCCCAAATCAATGTTTTCACCCCACCTTTTTGCTGTTCATTAAAAAAAACAAAAACCA